GGTCCAGATTCGCTTTTCGAAGCGTATAGTACAGTATTGTACTTACACAATGTGGTTAGAAAGCTGATATATTATAGCTATATATTCCAAAGTTAATATAAGGCTTTGGGATATCCATAAAATAAGTGTGAAGCATATTGGTCTTAAATAAAAACAAGAAAAAAACGTTAACTTCGGTTGCGCCGAAGCTATAATACCCTTCGCAGAACTTGATTCCGATCGTTAAATTTGTATGGCAGCTATATGATATAGTGAACTGATCTGAACAATTTATTCGGACAATACATTGTTGCTTTAAGTAATAATCCATGCCGAATTTCGTGAAGATACCTTGTCGAACAAAAAAGGTTTCGATACAACTACTTGATTCCGATTGTTCAGTTTGTATATCACCTATATGCTATAGTAGTCCGATACCGGCCGTTCCGACATATGAGGAGCTTTTTAGTGAGAAAAGGACTGGTGCAGAATTTCAGATCGATAGCTTAAAAACTGGGGGATTAATTTGTATATATACAGACAGACGAACATGGCTAAATTAGCTCAGCTTGCCTCGCTGATAATTCATGTATATATTTGTAGAATCTCTGACGTTTCCTTCTGGGTGTTAGAAAATTCGTGGCAAACTTAATATACAATGCTTAGGGTATAATAACAAAAATACAAATCAACCAACAGCGTATTAATAATTCTGTGCTATATTTGGAGCTATTTATTTGAAAAAACCGAATATTTTTCTTTACATCTTAATAGAATTTTTGCTGGAAAGAAATATAGCAACAATGAAAAGTTATTGCGAGAGGTTGATGCATATTTTTTAGTCTGGACAATCCACAACTATTTGTGTATGTCATTTAATTCATGAAACTAAATCATATAGTAACAATCATAATCATGCCATTAACAGCGTATATTAAAATTTTTCATTAAGTCTGTAACACCGAAATAGAAACATTTTAGGGCATATAAAGTGCACAATACAATTATCAGCGTCACGCGGTCTGTCTGTCCGTCTGTATATGCGCGAACTCAGTATTTCAGTTTTCGAGATAATGTTCTGAATAATGAGGATTGTTCTGAAATTTTGCTCACATTGTTCTACCAACAAGAAGCTGCTCTTTAATCGGCAATAATATAACATATATGTAACTGCCATAAAAACTGATCGAACAAAATGAAGATGAAGATCTACATAAAATAATTTTTTTTTTTTAAGTTGTATATATCAAACAATGAGACTAAGAAGACCTAGCAAAACATTTTCTGTTGGATGCAAAGATGTTTAACCGTATTTCCTACAAAGAACGTGCAAAACTGTTCCACTCCGCAGGCTTTTTGTACCACTTCTGCTATAATCACAAAATCTGTTAAATGGGCTAGCACACACTTTTTACTACAGGGTTTGCATTACATTCACATCTGGGTATGAGTATCTTCATACTTTTTTACGTATAGTAAGAAAATTATATGCACGTCATTTTTAATTATACTGTAGATATAAAATGCGATAAATTGTAAAGCATTACTAGGTGTTGACTACATTTATCCTTGACACAATGTCAAGGATAATGCGCTTTTATGTTGTGATAAATGCCTGTCAGGTAAACTTTTGCTACCGAATTTCACAAAAACTTCGTAAGACAAATGGAGTTTGTGCCATAAGAGTAATCAATATTATTTGTTTGTATACCATAGAGCGTGTTAATATAATATTACGAAATACAAGTAGTATGCTCCTAAGACCGCATATGTATAATATTTTTTCCTTATAGCGCATACATAATAATATTTTTTATATTGTTCTTATATGCTATATATATTTGTAATTTTATCGTTTATTTAAAAAAGCATATGCAATTGTATTACTCAAAGTGTTGCCCATCTGAACCTTATTTTTTATCCACCTAGCAATTTGTTGATTCCATCGCAAAAGAACTGCGTCGAATTAGCAGCCAAGTATGAATTAAGGTAATTTTTGTTATCTCCCAGTGAGAAGGTTCTGCATCGACCGGAACAAATGGTAGTCAGAAGAGTCAAAGGCTGCGCTATGGGCATATTAATGGTTTCACAAGGTTTAAGGAGCTTATAATATAGCACGCCCTTCTGATCCAAATACAAAGCTTTACCTTGGGTTGTCGTAATGGATCCATTTTTCATCACCAGTCACAATCCAAGTCAGCATTTCTGGCATGCCAAATCGTCTTTCAACGTCTCTTGGCTTCAATTATTGCAACAAATTTAACAATTAATAACTACACTCACCCTATATTTCACGCGCTGAGAGGATTTTGATTGATTTTCAATTTATTTTACTATTTGTTTTGAGTATTTCTAACTTAGTACTTTTGAGAACTGTGATGACGACTAATAATTTCCAGAAAGTAATACCTTTTCCCATTCAAGGATCCCAAAGAACTTAATTAAATTTGCACTTCAAAAATAGACTGCAAATCCTATATGTATCATATATGGGTTCAGCATTTACTAGGGCGGTAACAGAAACGTGTTTAAATATTTGGAAGGAATTACTAAGAAGCACATGGTCGGAATTCCCCAATGTAGAGATCCTAACGAATGAAGCATACAATTTCGAGTATACCATAGCTATGTAGCCATTAAAGTACGGAATGCAGAACATACCAATATCTTCAGATATAGGCTAAGCCTGACGTTGGATTGCTAAAAACAAATGGATAATAAATACCTTTAACACTTCGTATTGGAATGAAAAACATGTTATAATTTCTTTAAAGTAATTTAATATAAAAATTTTGTAATTTTGTCAAAAGTCATATGGTATCAAATAATGTCAGAATTGTTTTAGAAAATAGTCTAAGCACGTGGCACAACGCGGTTATCGTGACGTACTACCACATCTACGATGCTCATGTTGGGAGTCAGGAAATTGACTAGACGGTCAGCACCAGTACGAGAGAGACGATCGAATGGATAGCCCATGGGACGACGATCCGGATATAAACGATCGCGCACGCCACAGTATGAAGCGGCATCACTGCAAGAGCCCACCAATTGTTGCTCGACCTATGACAATTAGTATTTTATTTTAATACAATATTAATTTGATAAAAACGTTTTTTTATAGTAATTATTGTAGGCTTACCCTATCCTGGTCGTAGTTGGATACCATAACAAACAGCTCACACTGCAAACCTTCAGGCAAACCTTTTGGAATAAGCATGTGATTTGGCCAACCGCAGCCGCAGAAGTTGAACTCGAGTTCTTCAGCACTACCGGCGGCTGGGCGATTTACATCCACATTACGGAAGGTACGATCGAAGGGTATGGTGACACTGGACTCGGTGGAGCGGCGGCGAATTGTGTTTTGGCCAGGGTTTACTGTTGGTTGGATAAGAGTTATAAAGTCTCACTATCTACTCGTAAGCAACGCAATACTCACATGCCACAATGAATTTGTCCAATTCAGTCATAAGTAAACGTTGATCCTTGAACAGCATTCCTTGTCTACGCTCATCTGTTTTGGGGCCCAGAAAGATGCGCACTGTACCGAAACGTTGGGCACCGCTATCATTGTTGACATTAATGGTGTAGGTGAAAGGCGTATGTTGGAGATGAGTGAAACGTGCGAATACATTGCCGCGTGGCACAAAGTCCATGCCGCGTGAGAGATCAACATCTGATTGCTGCCAGAAGGTTTGCAGCACATTCGGTTGTCCACCTTCAGGACTTACTTGTATACCAGTTACAGTAACACCATCATAGTTGAGTTCTGGCAGTGTATATGGGGGTAAACGGATCTTATGTTCCTGGAAAATATCATCGATATATGCATGCCATCTGTAAAAAGCCGGATCGCGCATAGCAGTGGCTGAATCACCGATAACGCCAAAGGACTCCAAATGACGATGATCGGGATCGTGTGCGTAGGAAATGAACACATGACCCATGTTATGGAAGTCACCATACAAGCTACGATTTGGTGAAATACTCGATGATTCTATGATATTACCTAAAATGTCGATACCACCTTCATTATCTAATGGCACACGATTGCTACTTTCCTGAAATTGTATTAGATTACATTGTATAGGTGGAAAGCCTTTAAACCGTTATACTCATAGTGTATACTTACATCGATGGCAAATCCTTGTGATATAGCTTCGAAAATGCGATCACTCCAGCGCTCCATATCACTCACATCTAAATTAATTTGATCCAACTCACGTTTGAGATCAGATAATTTCGTATTCTCAAAACGTGGCGGCCATGGGCGGCTCGATACTAACGAATCCATTTTAGGGAAATAGCCTTCAGCTATGGGTTCACGCAAATTGTTGAAGCGTACAACGCGTGCCAGATTATTACTGAATCGTTCTAAATTATAACGGGCAACAACTTGTTGATGCATGTAGTAGAAGAGTTCACCACGACGATCCTTATTCACAATAGCACGATCACCAGCTTCATTTGGATATACCAAATGCCAATGCCAATGATGAAGATTGATGCCGAGATCCTCGCGGAAGTACCACAGCCGATGCTCAGGTTCCAAATCAGAGGCGGTGTAATCGCGTGGTATGATGATTGGCATACGCGAACCGTCAGGCACCACAGTGGCTTCTTCGCGCACTTGACGGAATACACGAGAATCGACAAACTTGTCGGGGAAGTTCTGCGCGAAAGACGGTAAATCCAGTCCCTTGGTGTCTGGACGATGTAGTAGCGCCACAGATAGTGCATAATTGAACAAGTATGGATTCACACGATCACGTGCAAACACAGCTACACTCTGCAGATCGTCTATGGAACGCACACCCATGAAAATATCAATCAAACGACCCGCAATGCGACGATGAGCCGGAATAAAGAGAGAAAATTGCGCATCACGTGCCAGTGACATGGGTAAGCGTAGATCCGGTATAGAAATATCTCTAACCGGAATGCGTTGCTCGGCCTTTTCACCAAAACGACTCTGCACCTCATTACTGATGGGACGGTAGCGTTCCGTAAGAAACTTATCGGGCACATCGAACACCGCCCCTTTTCCCTTCTCCATAAAAATGGGTTCGGTGGGACGATCGAAGAGCAGCAATAGATTGTTCTTGTCAGCCATTTTAAATTGCTATTTAGATAGTACCTTTTGGAATTGAAGTAAAATTTAGTAGTTCTTAGATTCACTAAGCGTTCACAACTGTAGTTCAGTACGTAACTGATGGTTTGAGGTACGAATTGAGCTCTTTTATACTATTCGAAAATTTAATTTTTAACATATCGCATAGATATTCACACATAATGCGCGTATAAATCCACAAAACTACTTATCAGTGCTCAAATTCGTTGTGGTTTTGTTATCACACAGCGTTATTTTGACAGCATAGGAGTGCGGTGACCGTTCTGTCATTTCGATAGCTATCCTAATATATTCCCACAAACCTTTAAGATATTGTATATGCGTGCATTTCGGAACAGAAATATCGTATTTGCAAAAAGCGTGGAAAGTAGTTCCAATTCAGCACATCTGAAACATAGATATGTACATAGGATTAAACGGAATATACTTGTATATATGTACGTATGTACATGCAATTGCGGTTCTATAGAAAGCTAAGTAAACTGTGCAGTGTTGCGCTGATAAGTGTACGAAATATGAAAGGCAAGATTCAAACTATTAAACAACAATAAATATTAACTTGTATTGTCGCGATTGAACGATCTATAATACAAAATATTTGAAGGAAGAATTTTTTATTAAATAGTATCTTAACCGCTCATATGTTACGAAGGTTAGAATTTTAAGTACTGATTTTAAATATTTTATATATTAAATAGATCTTTTTTGTTTCTAAATTTCTTTCGAAGGGAAAAGTGCTTTCTTAGTTTTGTCACACTGGTGGAATTAACTAAATTTCCGTCAACGTATGCCCACACAATGGTCTGGTCCAAAATTTGTAAAAGCGATGATTCGGTAATAAATTAAACTTATTTTAAAACATGATGTTATAGAATATAGCTAATGACTGTTGCGGCTCTACTCATTCTAGAATGAACTGCTCATATTTCATAAGCCATGCCATGGAATTGTTAATTTAAAAAATTTTGCGTTTATGACTGTAATCTCTAGATAATTAACGCAGTGTAACTTGTTTTAAAAAATACCGTTAATTTTTTCGTATATATCTTATAACATATGTATATACAATTTTGTATGAGATCGTGGACAAACTATTTATGATATACGTATATATAATATATTAGGTCTAGCAAATTCCATTATTCTTCCAATACGTGGCTTTAGTTATCTTCCTTGTAAAAGTGCGATTGGGTTATGCAATATAGCATTCGAAAGACAATATTTCATACTAAAAAACCTTTCAGATATTTTTGTGGTTACTTGAGTCCGTCAAATATGAAAACCAGCAAAGAAAAAATACGACAAATTCTAAAGTTTTCCTTTAAGGCGAAAACGAAAGTCAGGTGCCTGAAAATGTGAATAGTTTTTATGGCTCCAATACTGTAGGAGTCAGTCACGTGCAATTTTGGTTTCGGCGATATCGTTCCGGTAATTTTGATGTCAAAAAAACACCGCGCTTTGGAGGGCAAATTGTTGAAAATATCGACAAAATAATGGTATCCGTTATGCGAACATCATGTAAGCATTGGTGTCATTGCCCAGGAGCTAAACACTATACAAAAATTCTTTTGGAATTATTTAATTAAGGCTGAATAAAAAACAGCTCGATGAATCGGTAACACACGAGTTAACTCAAAATGCCTCATGGACTGAATTTGCATCTGCGTATCGCAACAGAATCGATTAATTTCTGAAGATGATGGTTACAGTGATGAAAAATGGATCACTTACGACAACGTCAAGCGAAAACAGTCATGATCGAATCAAGGTGAGCTATCACGAACGCTGGCTCACTGGTGAGATGCTTCCCTATGGCCAAACTCCTGAATCGGACCTGTACTGTCAACAATTGAACTGTCAAAAGTGTGCAAGTTGCGTATTTAACCTAAATCCGATAACTCTAACTATGCTAAATAAAACCTTCATTTCAGGGCAAAAATAATGAATTTCTATTTACTAGACCTTAGACGTCCCAAAAACCTAACTTTGTATTTAAATCATACAACATGCAACGTTAGTTATTAAAGAGTTACAGTAATTTTTATTAAATAAAAAGTGTGCAATTGTTCCATTCCTACAAAGGGAAGATATAAAATTGAAAACAAGGATGCACCGAAGCTAGAATACCTTTCACAAATAAAATAAAGACTTTCATATGAAAACTTAATATTGATCAGTCGATTTGTATAACAGCTATATGCTACAGTGGTCTGTTCTGAACAATTTGTATATCGGAGTATTGCCTTGAACAATAATTAATACCAAATTTTGTGAAGATATCTCAAGAACTTAATTCTGATCGTTAAGTGTGTATGGGAGCTATAGTCTATAGTGGCTCCGAAAAAAGAAAAGTGCAAAGTTTCAGAGCCATATCTAAGCTTGTCCCGGTCATCATATATATATTTATTTTATAGGATCACCGACGTTTTCTTCTGGGTCTTACAAACTTCGTTCGCTAAGATACGATGAAAAAGGTTTAGGGTGATAATTGTATGAGTCTTACTCAAGTTTATACGTGGCTTACACGATTTAAAGTCATAGTCGTGACGATCTAAATGACGACCAAAGTCCGCCCAGCAAGTATTCGTGCTGAATTGGTGGAAAATTTTCGTGGATATAATGCAAATTTTACTACGAGAATTTGAGCTGAGGGATTAAATACGAGTAAATATTTGAAGAATTTTAATTGAAAATGGGATTTTGCGGTTGGATTCTTCAGACGTTCTAATAAGACCACACACACAACAGTCTGCGCAACCCAAATGAACCTGGTCTTTTTATCCAACCGGCAGCAATAGTCAAAGGTATTTTGGGAATATTTTCCTCCGCATCAGCAACAAAAACAATATGGATTTGCCAATTTCAAAATGAGAATTATATCCCAAAATGTACGCCATAAGTAATAATTGTGTCTTTCCACGCTTTCTCTTCCTGATATGAATTTCATTACGTTGACGATCAATTGGGCTGTGGAGTGCAATGATGGAACCATGCCTAACACTGCTCTGAACTATTAATTCGTTTTTATTGTTGGTCGACGTGAGCTCGCGGTAAATAAACTTTGCGCAGAGGTTTTCTGTACCAAAGTATTCACGAACGATATTTGCAAAATGACACTCGGTTATTGTTAATATGTTAAATATCTCGACCAGGGTTGCGAATTCCTTAACTCAAAAATTTTGGAAATTATCAATTTTTAATCTAAACATCTTGTATTAGAAATGGAGAAAATATTTTTTTAATTGAAAGATTGGAGTAACAAATAAAAAAATTAAGGGGATATTCTAGTGTAGAATTTCCAAAAGATATATTTTTTTAAATATTTTTTTAGTTCAACTAACGCGAAACTTTAAATGCGTTTTTCTCAGACCAGACTTTTTAAATACGATTTTTCGAGTTCTACTTAACCGATTTACTTGAAACTTTCAGTGAATATTTTTTCTCTACAGTATGAACTAGCCTCAAACAGCAATTTCAATTTTTACTATTTTTCAAAAATACGTAAAAATAAAAAATATGGTAAAAAATCGTTTTTTTTTTCAAGCAGTCTCCATTTGGTAAAAAAAAAAAATTTACTTATCGCTAGTTCAATTGCGTCATCATTGCAGATTGATCATCTTTTTTTCATTACAGATGACTCATTCAGGAGAGTTGAAATCATGGTCATGTGCCAATTTTTTTAGACCCACTTCATCAGCTGCCAGTTTTTTTAAATTTTTAACTTTTTTTTTTAATTTTTCTTTGCACTTTTGTAACATTAATAAATAACTGATAAAAAAATCGATGGTAAAAATATTGATTGACTTTTTTACAACACTTTAAAAGATACGTAAAATTTATGTCTATAGACTAGAATACCCCCTTAAAATTTCAAGTTAAAAGCTGGAATAAAAAGGGATAAAATAATGATTATATATTTGTAACTGAAACACTATAATGAAAAGTAATTAGGTATAAACAAAAGAGCTTTCCTTTTCAAAAGATAACTAAAAAGGTAGAACACAAAATACGCAAATGCAAAGTGGTGTAAATTTAAAAGAAAATTCCTTTTATAATTTTTAGTTTTAAGCTTGAAATAAAATTAATTTTTCCATTATTTGGGATTAAATTTTTTTTTTAATCTGGTATTCGGAATAAAAATATGTTTTATTTTTTAATCCGGTATTTGGAGTTAAATATTTTAAAATAAATAATTGTAATTAACATTTTCGGCATTACTAAATAAAAAAAAATTCCATACAGATGTTACGTCAAATATTTTTTTAATGCACTATTTGCAACCCTGTACTTGACCACCTTCATTTCACCGTATTTGAAATTATTTAGTGAATTGGATAGATACTCTAATACATAAGTTTTGCAGCCTGCTGGTATTATGTTAATATATACTATTCAATTTAGAATCAACAATTTGACTTAATATTTTTTTCTTACAGCTAAAACAACGATTGACTACCTATTATGCCAGCTGTGAATTATTAGCTTCTTTTCTGACATTTTCAAGAAACCATGCTTTTCACAATATTGTAAAAGATCGTTAGATGATAAGTTCGCTAGTGCGGTAAATATTGCTTAAACTTGTCTACAAAAAAGTTTCAAAAGAGGTCATATCTAAACGACAAGCGAAATTTGCATATCTCAAAATGATATTATAGAAAGCCTATAGCGCATTGGCCTCCATCTAAAACATGAGCAAAATACATGTGTGCAAAAAATGCTTTCACAACCATGTCCAACCTTTGCTGACTTTCAGCCACGCAGATCTCAACAATTCTTCAGTTGCTCTACATCACAACGTTCAAGCGAAAACGGTTAAAATAACAATTCATTGAGGTGGTAGCCAAAAGTCATACAGCAGCCAGCCACAGCAACAACAACAAATGCTCACCAACGGAAGCGACCGAACAAATTTCTGACAAAACCGTACCGTACAACGATCGCGAATTCCAAGATCTCCAGCAAAGAAAACTTTACATACATATATGTAATTGTGAAGATGCTGCTAACGGGTGAAACGGAGTGAAATAGGCGTTGCCAAAATACATAAATGGCAAATGTATACACGCAAAAGACTTGCTAGCTCTTCGGTCCGCAATAATGGCCGACGGAGGGCAGCACCTTGCTTGAACAACAAACTAGAAAATAAACGACAAAAAAGTACATTTACATAAACCACACATAAACCGCCATTCGAGCATAACACCCAGAGCTACAGAGGTGGACTCGGCGGCTAGGCTTGATGCTGCTGCGGCGTTGAAAATTTCAGCGCTCAGATGTTTTTTTCGGAGATATCCATGTCAGATAATGTAAACCTAATTTTATTTACTGTTGTTCAGTTACTGTTCATGTGTTGTTGTTGTTGCTTCCATTTTGGTTTTTATTGTTGTTTTTCTTTGGGTTTCAGTTCAGTTTGGTGCTTTTAGTTTTGGTGAAATCGGCGCAACAAGTGTAATTAACAGCCCCCCACAACACCGGCTTCAGTGGCAGCAATGGGGCCATCGCCATTTCACAATTGTTCGCCTTCAAGCGGTGATTTGGCTTGTGCGTTAGCCGTTTGCAGCATCGGTGGCACCGCGCATACATAAGCAAAGCGTACACACGCGCGCTTCAAACTAACAAGGCTACAAGTACAACAACAACAACAACCAGGTGCGCTGAAAGCAAATGTATTTGTTTGTGGCGCTGCGGTTGCTGGAAGCTGGTGTATTTGCTGCCGTGGCCGTGTATTTTAATTTGCCAACTAATGGGATACAACAGTTGATCGCCATTTTTCGTGGAATTCAGCACCGAAAATCTACAACCAACAACAAAAACAAAAACATTAGTCCGGAAAAGTACCATACATTAAAACCTCGGCAAAGTTCAGATGCCGTAGCAAAAGTTGTGCCAGTGGCAGCGAGTCATAAAATATAACGTAAAGTGAAGAAGCAGTTAGACTCGTAAAATTGTAAACCATTCGTTTTCTATTTGCTGTCTTTTTTTAAATTTTTCTTTCCGTTTATTTATGTATATTTTTTATCTCCGTAAGTATGTGTAAAATATTTTTAGATAACCTACCTAAAGGGTATTTTTTTAGACATGCGGTTTTCAAACAGAAATAAAACGCATAAAATTTAATATTATGAACAAGAATTTAGCTTCATTATAAAAATAAGGGCTTGCCATTATGCTTTAAAAATGATTTCGGGCAAGTGACCGAAGCGGCTGGCAAGCGGCTTCACATAACCCCACAAAAAATAATTCAGCGGTGTTGAACTCGTTGCTCACACAGCAGCAATACCGTTTTCTCGAATTACCTCTGCTGGGCGATTATGTCGACCGAATATTAGACGCACAGTTTGCCAACGTTGTTCCGGAGTAAGTCTGTTCATCATGAAAACCAAACTGAGTATAAATCAAGTAACAGCTGTCAAGATGGTCAACTCCAAAATAAGTATTACCACATTGAAAACTACACGTCTAAAAAAGCACCCGTTATATTTTGAATGAAATATATATAACATATATAATAAATATGTACGCACACAACTGTATATATACACATAAATACATGTACGAGAATATGTATCTACAAGTATATAACATATATGGAAATTAAAACTATTTTCCTTTGTCCTGCATAAATTTAATAACATGCTGAATAACACGCCAAAAGGTGTGAGGTTTGGTAAATTAGTTGATATTGGTGAAACGTTCAGTAGGATTTAACAACCGCACATGTGCTGGTTTCTGATCAACGCTGGCTAAGCTCGCTCGAAGTCCCAGCAGATTAATCAGATTCCTTTCAGAGCAATTTATAGTCTGGTTTAGATTGCATGTCGAAGTTATTTTTGGTTCATACATTGTTAAAACTAAAGATTAGCCGTGAACGGTGAGCGCATTAGTGATTTTTTGATTTTCCACATCAATCTCCTGATCAAGTGATTGGGATCCGTTATGCTCAAATTTTTACTTCATATGCTTGAAGCAGAAAACACCAAATGTCATAAATTTTTTTAAGTGATAAAGCCAAAGTTACAAATGTCAATTAATTTTGTATTTTTATACTCTTGCAACATGTTGCTACAGAGTATAATAGTTTAGTATCTATATATATATATATATATATAAACATAAATGATCAGTAAAAATTGAGATATCTTCATGAGGCTTGGCAAACATACAAGTATTTCTTGGCACCATAAGACGGTTGGTATTGTAGATCATTAATCGAAAACGTATAAAGTGCTACAACTAAGCTACACAATAAGATACAAGACT